AGATACTAACCAAAGTCCAAGCAACGGTTGGGTTTGTTAGTGGTGTGACTGCTCCTAAATTGATCAACCATAAACGAATTCATACTTCGAAAGATATAATTGATGATATTAGAGAATTCTACAAATTTCAACTAGACGAGATACCTTGCGCACATGCAGTTGTTGTTTTTAAAGGACAAAAAATGTCACAGATATGCATCCTTATTGCTCTGATTACTACAAGCTTGATGCATTAGCAAAAACATATGAGGTTCCAATGGTTCCAATGCGAGATAAGGAAGATTGGTCGATTCCTAGTAATGTTATAGATGAAACTGTGTGGCCACCCAGATACAAAAGATTGGCTAGAAGACCAAGGAAAAGAAGAAAAAAAATGCAGATGAAAAGATAACAGTAAACATAAACTGTTGTGGACGTTGTGGACAAGAAGGTCACAACAAAAGAACTTGTACTTTCTTCCCAAAAGAAGAGTGAAAGTGTTATTTTTATAAGACATTTATGTTTTTGTTGAATAATTTTTGAATTAATCCATTATCACTTTTATTTTTATCATGAATAAAGTTTACTGTTTATTTTGGTTATTTTGATTCAATATTTATGAGTTTTGCTGATACAATTAAGAATTTGTTATGATTTTTGTGTTTAATGTTATTTTGGTACGTTTATTTATGACTTATGTTGTTTAATTCAATAAATTGTTATGATTTGTGTGCAAATGTTATCTCTGATATACAAATATTTAGGTGTGTTTGTATCATATACATTATGTGGAAAATCTAATGTATTATGTAGAGTATGTGTAATGTATCATATACATAATAATTAATGTAGCATATTCATTAAATCATAAATAACCTATCTATTTTAAATAAGCTATTGTATCTGAGTACTTATATGATACATAAATTATACCATTAAGTTACTCATCACTGTATTTATCACAATAACTATGAAAACATGTATCATATATATTATTATTTATTACAACTATTGTATCATATACATTATCAAAAAATTGTGTTATAAACATTAAATGAACAAAATATATCTATTGATTACAACTTTTTAATAGACTTTTTTAAAATGCAATTTTGTTTCACTTTTATAATTTTCAATTCAATAAGTTTTCCACTATAACCGTAATATACATTTCAATGTATTGTGGTTTTATATGTTTTTGACACAATATATTGAATTGTTACTGTTAGGAAATAAAAGTTTAAATCAAATTTATGTGCATTTCTGATTGATGTTGATTTAATTACACTGTTTAATTATAGAAATTTGTAAATGAAGACCAACATACATTGTGAGATTAAAGGAACAAAATATATTGACATTAAAAGTCAAACAAAACAAGTTTTTGGAGAAACACTCAACACTTAAGTTAATGTATCTTGAAAAGAGTACTAACTAAAAACACTGTGTATCCATTGATACACAATAACTATTCCAGATTAACTAAGGCATCATGATCTGGTGGTGTGAAATAACGCCTAGGCTTTGATGGATCGTCATTATCATGACTAACATATCCTGCTTCGGTTTTTGACTGCCGTATTTCCATAGCAAGGTTGCGTATCTTGTGTGGTGATAATCAGGTCAGAAAGCATTGGATTGTATTGGGATTTCATCGGTAAGAAATTCAGCAAACGTGGCCACAAACAATCCACAATCCCTACAAATGCAGAAGATACATTAAAAAAACGAATTGAACATATACTTTAAAACAAAACTTTATAAAATTTACAGTGTGTCGCTTCCTTGATGAATAATGTCTTGTACTTATTCAACAAGAAAAGGATGCTTTGGTTCCAATAAACACTTTGTTGTATGTTGAACCAAACCTCAAGGAGTGTGTAGGAATTTGTTTTATCTTGTATTTCACAGACTATAATGAGACAAATGAACAACAGTTAAAGACATAAAATAATATAAACACGATACATGCAGAATAATATACAGTTGAACTTATAATGATTATTATATTTATATCTGATACATAATATTAATATTTGTATATAATACACAATAAACCTTAATAATGTCATTTATGTATTATATATGATAAGTCAAGATTGATACTTAAATAAGCATATTACAACACAATGTATGTCATTAGTTGAGAGTGATACATAATCCAACCTGTTACAAATATATTTATAACTTTATACATTGAGAAGAAAAATTGACAAATTTTTGTGTCAGTTAAAAGAAAGGGTTTTGAATCAAATTGTAAATTGCATGTTGATACATCACAATATGATAACATTAATCTCTCAATAATGTTCATAAATTCAAATCACTAATTGATTCAAAGATTGAGCAACAAAAAAACGCAGAAATAGATCAGAACACATTACCTCGGATAGATTCGGACGAGAAATTGAGGATGATACTTTTCTACCCCCTTTTTTTTTAGGGGTTTTCCCAATCTTTGCTTTTGAAGAAGAAGGCACATCATTCTTCACCTTCTCGATACTGACGTTGGCCATGACTAGGGGATCATGCAATTTTTTCGATCTATTCTCAGCCCAACCTAGATCTTCATTGTCATAAACACGATTAGTGTTGGATGGCATTATCTGGGTAATACCTAAACTGAATGAAGGAGGATCCTCCATAAATGTATCAGAATTTTGAATTAAAAAAAAACTAACAACTATGAGCGAAAGTAATGAAATTGAAACAATACCTAGAAGGAATGAGAAATTCTTTGACTGGAGAGAGAACTATCATGAAATTCAAATTCAAAATTAGAATGATAAGATCATAGGAGAGAATATGGCGTGATTTCAGGAGAGAAAAATTGGAGAGAGAAACGTGGGTTAGGAGATATGGAGTTATGTATCCGGGAATTGGGTTTAAGGAGTAAAAAAGGGGATTTTAGTAATATTTTTAAAAAGAAGGGAATAATAGAAAATAAGTAAACTAATGATGTGTATATAAGTAATTTTTCCTTATGAAAATTGATATTTTTGGAGTCTGAGTTGTTTCATTAGATATTGATTTGATTGATTTTTGGGTCGAATAAAGAAAAGGTACAATCTTAAAGCAACAGAATACAAAGGCTTAAGGAAAGAAAAAGTAGGAAATTACAAAAATGCCCTTGTCATACAAGCAGGCATGTCTAGACTCTTCTACAAAGTAGTAAAATATACTCTATATTCTTTAAAATCTAACTCACGAAGAAACCCCAAAACAGATTGTACGCGAGTGATTGAAAATAGATCATTTAAGATATTATGTGAATCAGTACATGAAAACTTATATAAATTTCACTAGTTTAGAAGTTAATTATTTAGATGTACACAATATTACGTATCTTATCAGATTTTGATGCTTCTGAATATGTCCAAATAGATGTATCTCGAAATAGTGTGATTCACATCTACTGATATACATAACAAATTTCGCTCGCCCTTCTCCCTATTTTAGTGTATTCGGTAGCAATAACAAGTTTTATAAGGCAACCATTCACTTTAAAATAAAAAATGAATACGATACAATTCATCAAGTTAGAAAATCATTTCTATTTTGGTTCTATAAAAAATCAATTTTTCTTTTTGAATGAAGTTAGTATAGTATCAGGCTTGTTTTTCAATAAAATAATAGGTCACAACTTAACTAGGCCTACATACCCTGGTACGGTCAAGGAGTACTTGATGATGTACAACTCCAGGATTGATAGTGAAAATTAGGAGTAGTTGTACCTGGCCAATATAGCATACCTAATTCAACATGATGTTTCATTTTACAAGAATGGTTCGTATAATCAGAAGGGTGCAGTCCATATATTAGTTAAGGTCCCCCTTCTCAATTACTGAAGAGTTACTGACATTAATGTCAAATGCTATTTATATGCCAAATGCTATTTAAGCTATCTTGTCTTTTAATTGTGTGCTGCATTCTAGCCACATAGTTTCTGCCTCGTATATCATGTTTAGTTTCTGCCGCGCATATCATATTGACATAAAATATACTTCTATATTTCAATCATGTCATTAATCGAAAGGTACGATTAATATATAAAATTAAAAATTAAGAAGAGTAGCATATATAAGACTAATAATCATTGAATTTAATGAAATCAATATACATTAAACGTTTAATTAGCATTATGATTGTCATGTTACAGGTAGTATGTCAACAATTGATTAGTACCTACAATTTTGACAGAAAAATTGTCGAAAATAAGCTTTGATTCGATAATATTCAAACAAATTACGTAGTAAATATTCATAAAGCATTGTCGAAAACACCATAATTACAAACCATCAGCGTCTCTTTTAGTTTAACGTGTCAATGAATAAAATTATTAAAAAACAATAATTGACGTTAAAATAAATAATATATCTATCTAAATAATAAAAAAATTGTTCAATTAATAATAATTTTATCTATTGCATAATTGTATGAAGAACAAAAAAAAATTCAACCGAGTACTATAGATTTCTTTTCCGGGTGCGCCCAGCCGTTAAAGGCCACAAGAATAGGCGGTGTCGTTTAAGCCTACTTGCCCCATAGTTTTTGAGGGGCAGAAACGTAAAAGCAACGCAACAAGGTTACAAATTCCGAGCAGTTGAGAATGTTTTTGTTTCACTCTTATTTGTCTTCTTACTTTTGAGTACTTACTGTTCGACCTCGGAGGGGTAAATGCTATACCCTATATATATGTATTATCCCTCAGTTTAATTAGTACACTCTTCGATTCATCATTTGTAGAAGAAATAAAAAATGAAGGTGCTTATGTTGTTACGACAGCAGCAGAATTCAATAGCGTATTGTGTGAAAGAGAATAAACCATGTGTTGTTGGTTGGGTGAATTTGTATTTCAAAGATTGCCTTTGCAATGTCCGCGATGAATTCTCTTTCGGTTTTGGTTTTGTAAGCCTCATCTGTTGGGCTGTTGCCGAAATCCCACAAATTGTCACCAACTTTCGAACCAAATCTAGCCATGGCGTTTCACTTGTTTTCCTTCTTGGTTGGGTTATCGGGTAATTAATTTTATCGGTCATTACTCCATTTTCTTCAATTTCACAATGTTTAATTTTATTTTTTTCTCAACTATAAATCTCACCATTTTATTCGATGCAGTGACGTATTCAATCTAACAGGTTGCCTTCTCGAGCCTGCAACGGTGAGTATAGCTTAAAATATCATTAAATTAATTTGGTTTAATTAATGTTTCTCATCTTTTGGTATTTTTTTCTATTCATGCAGTTGCCGACCCAATTGTACACAGCTGTGGTAATGCAATCTTATTCTTTACTAATTAATCATATGAGTGGTATTTTTTAATTTTTTTTTAACGTGTTTAATTTAATGATCTGCTATGGAACAGCTTTACACAGGGACTACTATCATACTAGTGCTGCAAATCTTGTACTATGATTATTTCTATAAGTGCTGGAAGCGCAGTGAAAATGAGACTGGACAATTAGAGGTACAGATTAAACATTCTTAAGCTTGTAATTTACTGATTAATTAATTTAATGACACAATAATCGTTGAAGAAAGATGATTTGATTAACTTTAATTAGGTTGAAGAAGTACTGAAGAAGCCATTGAGACCTCAAAAAACAACAGATTCGGGGATTCCAATACCCAGCAGATCTGCATCACGCCCCATGGACTTCTATTTCATGTGAGTGTTTTTTTCTCAATTTTTCCCGTGTCACATGATACATGTCTTTTATATAGAAGTAGTTAATTGATATGTTTGTATGTTAATTTATTACTCAAATATGGTAAATTAACATGATTTGTTTTACGCTATCCGTGTTTATGAAACTAAGGAAGTAGTCAGTTTTTCGCGTGGATTAATTAGATTAATTTATTGCTAAGTATTTAAATATATTGGAACAGGTCTGCAAGATCATTGGCTGGTAGTTCAACCCCGCCATTCAGGTCGAATCTGAGGCCTATAGCAAGTGATCCATCAGCAGTGAGGCTTAATAACCATGATTACTCTTCAGATGATGATACAGTTGATGCACCATTAAATATTTCTGTTAGCCAACCTAAGCCTATCCCTCGATCTGTAAGTGAATTAGTTCTATTAATTCTTGTATTGATTTGTTAATGTTGGGGTTTAGTTTAGTGCAAGTTGAAAATTTTCTGCTGTCGCGACTTGTTTATAATATTGTGCACTTACTATATATACTGTGAAATATTGCTGGTCCCAATATATGAGACAAGTAACCAATATTCCCATAGGCATAATGCCCAAAAGCCAAGTCGAGAGGGCTTCTCTACTTTGTCCACTTCCTAAATATATGTAATGTGAAATACTGATGGTCAGAGATTCAGAGTATATGCCCAAAGCATCATTTATTTATATAATTCCCAGAGTCCTTATGCCCAAAGGCAAGTTGAGAGGGGTTTCTCCTCTCCTTGGCGGAGCCTCAAGGGATCTGAAAAAAATGCAAGTATGTCACGCCTAAAATTCTAATATATGACCTCAAATGATTTTGAGTTAAATTTACCGCTGCCCTCTACACCAGAATTTCCTTATGTCAAAGGGATTTGACAATTTATATACTCCATAATAAATAATCATTTTTCCATAATTTTTTCAATGAATTAAGAAATTTAAAATTTAATTGAATCCACTTTGGACCATGTAGCTTCATTTTTAAACCTAAAAGTAATTTTATTTATTTTTCTTGGTCTGGGATGATAATATTTTCATAGTAGACGATTTTCAGGCAGGTTATGGAGCGTTCTTTGCAACAGTGTCTGGAATGCCTCACCAGACAAAAGCTTTACTTGTTGGATTTGGTGGAAGAAAACTATTACAAGTATGTTTCTTCAGTAATTGCATCTTAATATCATGAAACTTTCAGGGCTGATTCCGGACATATTTCTTTTCTGGCAGGAGCATGGGACGGAGCATAGTGCACTTGGCCAATGTTTGGGGTGGATGATGGCTGCTGTCTACATGGGCGGTCGGATACCTCAAATATGGTTAAATGTAAGTCATGATTCTTCACTTTATAATTCTAACAACATGCTAACAGTTAATGTTGCAGTCTCTATTTTGTCTAATGCAAAGCCATTGAACATATTTCTTTGTTTGACAGATTAAACGAGGGAGTGTCGAGGTAAATATTCTACAGAATTCTCTTCTGGACTTTCTTAAACTTGCATTTTGGGCATCAAGCAAAAGGCTAATGTGGATTCTTTTATCACCATGAACAGGGCTTAAATCCTTTCATGTTCGTGTTTGCACTCATCGCCAATGTCACTTATGTAGGGAGGTAGTTTCCCCTTTATTTAACTCAGTATAGTTAGCATTTCTTACTATTTTGTTCTGCTTACGTATATAAGTTAAATCGTACTGAATACATGAAAATTAATCTGTCATTAAAATGCATTTGGTAACCTTCTACTAATTCATTTGCTTGTTATGTTTACATGATGCAGTATACTACTTAGATCAACAGAATGGAGTAAGATTAAAGCCAATATGCCTTGGTTGTTGGATGCTGTTGTCTGCGTTGTGCTAGACTTATTTGTATCCTCACATTTCTCCATTAATTTTGTCTTAGCAATTGCTCAAACAACACATATATCTGTTCTTTTCTTATACTACGTACTAGTTTATTCATTTTCCCAAACTGTGGGGCCTTAACACAAGTATAGATCATATTACAATATGTCTACTACAAATACGTGCGAAAGAATCCTTCCACTTCCAATGGCAGAGAAGACGAAGGAGCCTACAAGAAAGCAAATAAAAATTGAGGACAAATTTCTACAGCATATGGCTAGATGGTGGCTACTTTACTCTATACTCCTGTAAAGCCTTGGGATCCCACTGCTAGATCTGCTACTAATTCGGAAGACTGTTGCAGCTAATCTCCTAGTAATCGACTCTTACATCCCTTCTAAAGTTATCTAATTTATTTGACCTGTGTTTCGTAATTAGTGATGAACTTACTAGCTTGTGATCAGAATCTTATTCTGAAGTGAAGAAATTTTTTGGAGAGGCTCTTTTAACTCGTATGCCTCTAGTTTAATATAGCTCTCGCGTACCTGGTTACACATCTTCTTTAGTTTGAAATGTTTCATGTTTTTACATCTTTACATCATAGAGCTGTATCTTAATCTATAAGGGGTATATTTCGTAAGCTTCTTTTATCGTCATGGATCGGTTTTTCAAGCATCGTATGTTCAACTTTTTCAATGTAATAGATAAAGAATATGGCCTGCAAATGATACGTGAAGCTTATGGGCCTCTTTCTTGGTCCAGAAAAGCTGCGTACGTAATTTTGTATGACAAGGAGAAAATTTGCAGTCATTGATCTATATCCTTAACTGCTTGTAAACTATAAGGACAATGAATTAATGTTTGTCAATTGGTTCCTTGTGACGAAGTTATATCAAGAATGTACACACTAAAATGCGGAGTGCAATTAAAAATCAACGTTGAAAGCAGCGTGACTTGTTCGTATCTGCATTTAACAATGTACTCTATTTACGCAAGCAACATGATTGTATGAATGTGGACCGTGGTGCTGTGAACAAATTGTTGACGTTTCAATTAACAATGTGTGGCTGCTTGATCATTCAAAAGCTTTAGTTGATAGAGATTGACATATTTTTATTAGTTACTTGGATATATTTTCAGCACATCACTTTATAGGTGGGCTTGATACATTTTCACAATTTATAATTTAAAAAGTTAAAGTGCACACTACAGTTTTTTTTTTTCCAATAACCATTTGGTATCCGATATTCACTTTCTAACTAATCATCTATTTATACTGCATCATTCACTTCCTTAATTATCGGAGGGGAGGGGCGTGGGGGTTCAATTACTCAAACTCGAGACATTAAGGGAGAAGGAATTTCATTCAAACTTGCTGATGGTAACTTGCACAGTTTTATTCATTTACTTATATAATGACATCAATCTCAAGAAAGCATCTTCATGATTGAATAAGGAGTAGTAATGAGTCACTATCAATAAAGATAGGACTCTTTCTATTGGGCTTCATAGCAATCCATTTGCGTATTCAGGGGCATAACTTATGGCTTAATAAGTTGCTCTACTCAGGAAGTTGGATTTACCGACAAAATTTTGATTACAGTTTCTCAATTAAAGCATGCTCTTGAAATTTATTTGACTTGTAAAAGGGCATATAATTAGAGCTTTTGACTAACTCTTAAACTTTGCTTCCTACATTGTTGTCTTTACATGTTTTACTAATTACAAACTTACTATACCAACTTTTGAAAAAGATAGAATTCGCACTTATATGATTCTTTATGTGCAGTGGTTCAAGCTCACTCAGCTCCTTACTTTGTTTAATTTAAGAAGGAAAAATATCTCTTACTTGGCAAGATTTAATATGAAACGCGTAAAATGCGGAATGACTTTTGTAGAATCTGTACATGTTTCAGCCATGTGGTTTTGTTTTAAAATCTACCTGACTTGTCCCGCCAACACACACACAAACAAATCCCTCTCACTGCCGACACTTCTCCTTCTCTCTTTTCCTCATCAAACTGTGTGTGGTCGAGCCCAAGTGACTTTCCAAAATTGTTCTTTGGTATGACACAAATTATTTTTCTACCACCAACTAAACATACACGGATGTCACCTTTTTTTTTTTAACTTCCACCAATCTGACGTGAAATCATAGAACGAGATTCACTTTAATCGCAAAAAGAAAAAGAGAAAAAAAGGAAAGTATGCTTGGTGAATTGAACAAGAGCTTAGACGTGAAGAAATGGATACTTCTATATTTAGATGAAATGAACAAACAGTACTCCTTTTTTTCAATATTGTTTAGAAAAGCCTAAAATGGTGAGAGTGAGAAGATCGTAACTTAAAAAGATTCGCTGAATAGCAAGTACGTTAAATTTAGCACATCTCAAGAATACCATGAAATATTTAGCAGACAAGGAAGGCTGCGTTCTATAATAAACTTAATTGATCACAAATATATGATTTCATATCATACGTCTAAAAATAATACTCTAGCAAAGTTCCAATGTAAAATTCTTGGCTAGCTACTGTATACTACTTATAATCTATGAAAATAGTAGACCCCAACTAGCCCTTCTGGGGTGACTAGCTCTGCCAAAAGAAACAAATAAGTAGTAGTACTTACTTTACATAACACAATCGAAGAGGATCTCAAGACACAGATCTCTACTCTCGATGTCTTTCACTACAATCTCTAATACACCTGAAATCATACAAGCAAGTACAAGACTATTAGGCAAATTTGAGAATTTACATGAAATCGAAGTTGAAAAATAATATTTGAAAATTAAATCACATTCAGAGTAACAGAGTAATTCAAGTACCTTAAGATTCAATAGTATAAGGTGTTTGCAGCAGGTCATAAGGTGACCATAGACCATCTAACGGACAAGGGCGATTCGCGTCGAGTCTCGCCCATGGTTTCCCCTTTCCACTCCAATGCAATAGACTAACTGGACCAGGATGCAAATCCCGACAGAGTCCATGAAAATTATCTCCACCAAGACCGTGTTGGTTCCAGCTGTGATCAACCGGAGCTATATTTCCAGCAAAAACAAGCAGAAAAGGGGGTAAAGATCCCAATTCATAAATCCTCATTCTCTTTTGCAACTCCATCCACTCCACAATCTTAGTAGTATAATCCCCTGCTCTCCATTTCTCTAAATCAATAACCATCACTCCAGTATTAAAATAACAAGGCCTTCGATTTCGATTCGCAAAAGTTAAGGAAAGAGAAGGATTAGACCAAAAAGTTGGGGTGAAGTAAGTAGTAAAATTAGCATTGCAGTATTCAGGAGCTGCTAAAACAGAGTCCCCTGTTAGAGGCGTTGCAGCTAATTCAGCAATGTCATCTACTAAAACAAGGTCCGAATCAAGATAAACAACGTTTTGAAGGTGTTGAGGAAGTAGATCAGCAAGATAATTGCGAGCATAATTTAAAGGACAATCTAAAGCAGAGCGAATTGAGGTCGAAATTAGTCCTGCTACAGCTGCAACATCTTGAATTGGATAAATTGTGAAGTGAAGATACGGAAATGATTTTGTAATAGTGAGATTCAAATGCGTGGATTCAGCAGACGAAGAAGCGACAAAATGGAATACAATGTTTTCTGGGCAAGAAGAGTGTTGTAGTACTGAAAGAATAGCAGCCATAGATCCCCGGAGATAAGCTATATCAAGAGTCATAGCGACATTCACTGAATAATTAATTGAAGAACAACTCGGGGAATTATAGAACTGCGGCGCTTCTTTAAAATGGAGATTAGTGCCGGTGGTTGTAGTAGTACTAACATTTAGTGTGGATAAAGAGAAGATGAACAACAAGAGGGTGCTGCCACCAGATCTCCTCCTAAGTTTAGGCATAATGGAGCAGGGAGACAAATTATAAAACATGGCACACAAATTTCCTTATATATAATTATCAGAACTTTCCTTTGACCCGCTTTATTTGTATAAGTAAGTATTTATTAATTGCAGTAAGAATATAAGATATTTTACTAAGCAAGTGTTTTAAATAGTATGAATTCAATTAGTCAAAGAAAAAAAGCTAATTTCGTACATATAGCAGGAAAGTGATATGGGTTTTAGACTAACTTATTTATTACTGGATTCTATTTTTCATTTGGAAATAAACTTTGTAATTATGTTTGGATTGACTATTTTCAGTCTTGACTTTTAAGTCAAAAATCATTATGATTTATAATCTATTTTTGTTATTCTAGTTCTAAATTAAATGCTCATAATAATATTTTTTAACTTATTCCAACACTACAAAATTGTTTTAAAATTATTTTAACATATAAACAATTACAGTAAAATAAGTGAATTCAATCAGGTTCCAGAAGGTCGGATGATGAAAGCGCAGTTGGCACGTAGTTCATGCAGATCCCTTTTTTTTTATTGGGGCCAGAGGTCCTTTTCTTCCTTAATTTTTGGGTTACTCCCGCTAATTAAAAAAAAAAATTATATAAAAAAAGTTTTAAATAGATGTCGAATTAGATTAACATTTTGTGAGTTTATTTTATTTTATTTTATATTTTTAAGTTTTTTAAATAAAAAGACATGATTTTGTCAATATAGCGATTAGATGCAATATTCTTCAATCCAAAACAAGTGAATTTGATGAAAGTTAATTTATAACATTAACTAAAGAGTTATTTGAAATTATTGCCCTTTTACTTTTTCCAAACTTTTATTAAAAGTAGACATATTGAGACTTGAAAAACTCATTAGAGAGAAGGTTAATTTATGAAAAAGTTAATTAATAATCTCTTTGACTTTGAGAAAATCATTTATTTTGAACCTAATAATTAAGTACTAGAAATTCACTTAACTTAAAGTTTATGGATTCTAAATTTTAGGATGGCGACAAAATCAGAATTTAAAGTTTATGAATTCTAATTTTAGAATAACGATATTAAATCTTAGTAATTGGGTTGTGAATAACTTTTATATATGTTTAGTGATTTTTTTAGATAACCTTCCAATTTATCTACAGAGATGTATTAACAAAAACATATCCAATAAAATTTTACGAGTGACGTTGAAAGAGACAATGGAAAATAAACAGAAACTAAGAGGTAAAGATATGCTGTGAAAGTTGAATATGGAAGTGTCACCAATTTGTTAGCTCTTTAGCTGGTCGGTAGTATAGAAGTCCTTAAGCAGAATAACTCCAATGAAATGAATTTCAACGTTGGCTTCTACTCTCTCTGTCCACTTTTGTTTGTTATGTTGGGTTTTTGAAAGTTACTTTGATTAATTTTCTAAATTAAATTAGATAATATTAATTGTATATTTTAAATAAAAAATTTAGATATTCAAAACTATATGAAAAATAATATAAATTGCAATATTAACATATAAATATGATGAAAGAATACATCGTAAAATATTACTCAAAATTCTTATAATTTTTTATTTTTTTTTAAATCAGGATAATTAAATGTGGACGGAGAAGAGAGTAAGTTGGAAAGGTTTCCATTGGACTTGTACTATTCTGCAATTTCTATAAATATCGGCATATCCCATTTAATTGGAAACCTACTCC